TCCAGCAAATACAGCCTGACGTTGACAATTAACATCCCAGTGCTATTTAAGGAATTATTTATTAACTTGACTTGGAGCACGGGCGGCCACGAATGCAGCCATGAGTTGTTGGATTAGGCTACTCTGTATTTTCATGATGAAATTTATTGTGCTTGTATCATTTTCACAACACATCCGTTTCGCTATAGTTACATGTGGACAATAATTATATTTGCAATAAATATGGATTTTTTAAAAGATAAAGTGTTAATCTGTTACATTTTTATGTTTTTTCCCTGTTGATATATATCCACACATATTAATTCTGCATGACTCTTTTGCCCATTTGGATAAATAAACGTAGATAGTGACCTTCCAATTATTTACCAGTCGAGTTAAAGGGTGGCATATCTGAATTTAATTAGGCTCGTTAAACAGAGTGGCTGCAAATGTGAAGTCCCCACGTCCAAAACGCTGACAGCCAGTGAGGCTGTTTGAGTCCGTGAGTGAGAGATGGTGGCGTTTGTTCAGGTATCCAGCCAGCTTAAAGCCACAGTTGATGCCTGTCTGGCTCACACACACACACACACACACACACACACACACACACATTCTTACACATTATATTAAAATTGCAGGGCCTTGGCTCACTGTTCAAAAAGTTAAATCTTCCCAAAAGAGTATTTCATTTATGCATTTATTTCCTGCTATATGAGAGTGGTGATAATTTGAAGCTTAAGTTATTTACAGTTACCATTAATGCTTATGTAATACATTTGGCCAGAATGATGGGTTTTCCTGCCAAACGAACATGAAATATTCAGCTGTATTTTGTAAAACACCCACATGTTGGGCGCCTTTTCCTTTCAGCGGACGGATATGTAACAGGACTATATACGACCGATGATTTCGTTTAAATATGCTTAAGCGTTTAACTCCGTAAACCCCTTAAGAAGGCTGTGGATTTAATCCGGAATGGGGCTAAGAAATGGTGGTGACGTTTCATTCACCATGACCTACCATGTTTGGGCCACCCCTGCTAAGTGAAGACAGCTCTGATTTTCTGTGATAGCAATACAGCCTGACGGTGTGAGATATCCGCTGTGACCAGACCTTTTCCCTGGAGTCCACCTGACAAGTCACAACTGTGACGAGAGATGGGGGGTCTCTCTGCCTGAACTGAAAAAACAAACCCCTTTTTGAGTTTTGAGCTTTGGGCTCCATTGATCTGGAGAATCAAGGATCCAAAACAACTGACATCAAGCTAAAAATGCACTAAGTACAGGTGTAGTTTGTCTGGCATATTAGTATTTACACATGTAGGACGTTACCCACAATCTGCTTTTAGAGGGGATTTGTCGTTGTGATTTTCTTCTGTTAAGCATCATTTGTCCCCTAGATGTCCTCGTTTAGCAACTGATGTCAGTCAATACGTTCAGAGGTGCATTTCTGAAGAAAATTACAGTTAATCAAGCAAGCAAATTAAAGTCAGTACAGTAGTACACACAAGAGACCCTGAAAACAACATGAATAGCATATGTATGTTCTACACAGTCTAAGCATAGCAGTGGTCTATTTTCACAACATTACTAGAAAAAAAGAACAGTATTCCACACCTTAATAATTATAAACATTAACGTGGGTACTTTCTGCATAGATACAAATTTATATATGTAAAGGGTTTTAAAAAATGCACACTGCCTGTTACTGTGTGTGACAGTCTGGTCTTACTGTCGCATGACAGGTGACACCAGTCAAAAGCAACACCTTGATGCACTCCACGAATGCCCACGTTTCCAGCGTGAGGTGTAGATGGCACTATCAGAGCATAGCAGAGTCTTATCAGCAAAAGGCATCCATTATGTGATGTTCCACTGCGTCTGGCAGCAGCTTTATAAGCACATTGTTTGAATACAATCCACATATTTGCAGAGGGCATTATTTATCAGATAATTTAACGTCAACATTTTTTTTCATAGCCCAGTAATTCCAGCAGTAAGGTTGGTCTCTTGTGTGACTAACTGGGTGTGTCGCATATGTTCGTGCCATTTGCATTTTTTCTCAGTTTGATGGCTCGAATCATTCTACAGGCTGCTTGGATGCGCTCTAACTGCAGCCCCTGTAGTCTACTGCAAATGTCCAGCATAGTGTGTGTTATTAAGCTGGCCCATGTCACATTTGTAGGATTATTAATGTCTTGCATCTTATCAGCACAAACCTGCCCGCAGACTTGAGTATAAGTGAGCATAACCTTCCAATTTACAATTTAGGGGAGTCTGTGTTGGAGGGAACTCAATGAAAGCTATTAATTTCATATGCTGTTAGTTTTTCCTTTGAACGTAATAAGCTAAACGTCAGTTGTCTCACATAAAAACAACTCTCTGCTCTACCCCTCAGCAACCAAGCTAAACAACCCACCAGTATTTAGTGCTTGAAAAACGATCAGATCCACAACAACATCAACACCTAATTAGTACCTGCCCAGCACCCTCATATATGAATCACAACTCCAGCGGACTGTCGTCTCTCGCAGTGAAAGTCTCCTCCTCCTACCCTCCCCCCACCCCGTCCCCCCACCCCCAGCCGCTCCCTAAAATCACACAGCAATATAGAGCCGGCGTGGGTGGTTTTTAGAAATAAATAAATATATATATAGTCCCCCAAGCACAGGGCTGACATATCTTCAAATTCATAACTATCAAACGTTATTCTGGAAAATGAAACACATTTCACCAGAAAGTTTGAACCGATTCCAGCAAGGAGTCATTCTTGATTATTTCCAAGGAAATTTTACCAAACAGATAGATTAACCAACAAATTCAAACAATCATTTACTTTCAAACAGTATTCTCATTAGGTCTTGACGGTCAAATAGCTTTTTGTCTGTTATTTGTTTGAGATGTTTACTTCATTTATCTCATTTTATCAGGATTGCCTTCCTATGCTATCTATTTTTTTCCTCACCACCTGAAGCTAAAAGCTAATGGAGAATATAATGGCTAGGTTTTGTGCCAGGCATTGTAAAATTTCACTTTTCCTAATTGTGGAGTTTCATTTTTATTTCCGTTTGAAAAAGGTAAAGGAGACTTTGTGACTCATGAGTTTACAATACTCAGCAACATTACTCCTGCGCACCTTTTTATGACTGAAATTACAGCTTCCATCTTTGGGAGAAATGTTCTTAGCAATGTGAATGTCAAGTGCAAAAGCTGTCTTTTGAACAGACTTACTGAAACCGATTTTTCCCTTTTAAAAGATAAATATATAGAGAGAAACTTCTCTGTTTTATGCACATTTCTCAGCATTTCTTTCATCAAGCCACACTTCCGGTTGTCATTATCTGATTCATCACTGAGACTGAATGAGATGTGCATCAGGTTTTCTGGTAGCTATTGACCGGTGTCCATTTTTCGTTGCTTGGATGCTGATTTATTTGCTCTCCTTCTATTTCCTCTCTGTCTTTGTTTCTGATCACTTCAGTGGATCCCTGCTGCCTCTTGAACATTATTAACACTCTTTTTTTATTATTACACTAGTGTTAGCCCAGCTCCTTACCACTACTCTCTCATTCTTTCCCTCTCCTTCAGCCCCCTGAGATCATATCCACTCGAATCTCTCACGTCTCAGTCATATCCCCCCCTAATTCTCAGCCTTTTTATGCCAAGCGATGAAATGCTTGGTAATATAATATTGTAGCGTTTTGTCACCTAGCAGTGAAGCTAAAACATGGTAAGTCTCCATAAGCCAAATGCCACCCTACAGAACTCATTCTAAAGTGCATCTCTTTAAAAACAAATGATACTGTATCTAGTTTTCCCAGCTATCGCAGTCACTGTCAGACAAAAGAGTACAGCCCTGGTACAGTTTTTAGACTAAATGCTACATTTACCTACATCTAGGGTACAATTGTCAAACCCTTGACAGTACAGCTCCAGTGACAAGTCATTGTACCCTCAGAGGTACAAATTGGTACTTCTTTTCTGACAGTGTATAGAATTACACAACAGGCACATCTCAATTTTTTCATTTTGAAACGTTCATCAGCACACATATTTTTGCATTCAAATTACTGGCACAGTGCAATTTGGAAAATAACATCATGGTGAGTATAAAAAATGATGACACTCAAAAGGCGGAAATAAGTAATTTCTATCTTTGTAAAATGTCTTTGGGCCTGCAGCTTACTGATGATTCCTCTTGGCTACCGGTCACTGTGCAGCCCTCTATCTGGTATCGAGGCTGGGCAGGCTTTCATTACGGAAGGGGCCTTTGTGCCAGTTGTGTGCCGCTGATATTCATTTTCACAGAATCTCAAATGGGTTTCATGCTGGTTGGGGTGACTGCATGGAGAAACAAGCTGTCCAGATACAGCAGCAACCATCTGATATACTTACATCATTAGCATAGTCGTCCATGCCACGTTTTGACACATCTGATTATCATACATTTGTGTGTGCATGAGTATTTTTGTGTACGTGTGTGTGTGTACAAGCTCTTCATATATGCTGAGGGCATCTCTGCCTAGAACATGGAGCTGCACCAGCAGATCCATATCCGGATCCATGTCCAGGAGTAATCTGCACACGTTTTCCTGGTGTTAAGGAATCTTGAGGGAGGAGTATGCATAGTGGGGCCCAGTCAAGCAGCAAGTAGTGGAAACCAAATTACCATCCAGTGATATGAGCAGAGGTGTGAAGTTCAGGTTCAGAAAGTACAAATTCAGTCCAAGGTTTTGTTTCAACCAACCAAATAGTATAGAGTCACACAACTGTTGGTTGAAACTCTGGTTATGAGTAAGTTTGTAAACTATTAAATATTTCTGTCATGAATTCTGATTTGTGTGATGTATTATTTATCAGTCTCTCAGGAACACCCCCCGAATTCCTGTCCCATACTGACTATCCTAATACACCAATCCAATGAAATCATTTCTCTCAATGCATTCAGATGGTAAATGCAAGATTTTCTCCAATTCCAAAATGTCCAAAAAATGCAAATGGCATGCTCTGTTCCACCTTTATTTATTGTTCTTTGTTGCATGCATATTAATGTGTTTTGAATCATATGTTTAAATTTGAATATATGTTTAAATGTTCACGGCATGGCAAAACACAGCATGTAAAAATGTACTTCTTCCATTAATCCTCTATAAAGTATAAAATTATGATTATCGCTGTAATAACACTCTTTTTGTTTAAAGGGCATTTAATATCTATAATTACTATGTATCATAAATCCCACCAGAATGTCAAATTTAGCAGCCCCCCCTGTGTGATAAATGGTGGGGGGTGGTGGATGTGGGGAGAGTTTATTTCTTTAAATAATTCATGCATATTTTATATATATATATCTTATATATTTCAATGCTTTTATGCTTTTTTCCTGACCATCCCATACTGGGTCTTTAAACTCTAAAACTCAAGAAATACATGATTTACTGAAAACATTGCATTAACGGCATATCTATGTGTTTCCTTTATATTATGTAAGTATTCAGATAACATGTTTTCCGTAGCATAGATGTGAGCTGGTGCTGTGAAAATATACTGCAACTAAAAATTTGTTTACTACAACGGCTGGACCTCGGTTTAGGTGAGTGAAAATCAACCTGTGATGTAGTTTGAATGCATCCATAGGTAACCTGCAACTCAAGCCGCAGAAGTTTGGGGAATTCGCCCGGCCTGGAAGGCACTTTGCATTCTGAAGCACGTCCCTGTTCTGCGATTGTGGCACCTTGTTCACTTTGCTTCACGTCAGAATCTTGACTTCTTCGTCCCTTTGTTATTCCACAGTAAACAACACGTCAGCCTTGGGACTCTGCAATGTGCAGGGACAATTGTCCCCCCTGCCCAAAAATGATTAAAGATGATGTTTTCCATACTCTGCATTGTGCACCAAGATGAAAGCACGTACAATACTCTGTTGACAGGTTAAGACCAGTGCATTCCATTAATTGAAGGTACCTACTTTTACAGCAGACACAGGACCTGCTGCACATTCTTCGCACTAAGTCCGTGTCCCATTTTGCCGAAGTGTGTTGTTTTACCAAAACTGCCACTGTCTTTAATTTCTGCATGTCAGTAATGAATCAGAGGTCCAGTGACATGGCTCTCTCTCCATGTTGTCATGAATATTTTATGTTCAACTGTAAAGGTAAATGTTATATTTCAGGTTCAGTGGTAAGGTCCTTGTTGATTTATGTTGTTCAGAATCTCATTCCTTACTAACATGTGAAAAAACAAGTTGATTTGAAAACATGTTGATGACAAAAATCACCCTGTTGCCACTTGAGGCAACACAATGTTTGACATGTTTAGCAGTTGTTAAGTAAACACTTTATCACAACAGAAAATAGTAAATACTCCATTAAAACCTTAACATCTGGAATGTAGAAAGGCTCGCACTTTGTGGAGAATAATTATGTGGGGACCATCGCAGACAGGCTGACTTGCTCTCAAAGGTTGACGCTGAAGTGCTTATAACAACATGAGGTTTCTTCACAAGGCTGCTATGTCACCCTCCTGCTGCGCCTTAAGGGACCAAAGGCAAGAGGCATTTCTGTCGTGTAGAACGTCTGACTTCCAGTGGGCCAGGCCAAGTCTCTAGAGGAGAGTGGATTCCAAGCCCTTGAAATACCTGTTAAGTAAGCCACAAGGGTTATTATGCACAGTAACTGATTTGTTTATGTATGTAAACACAGTAAATAGGTATCCATTCGGACAGCAAAAAAATATGAATTTTTCCTGGCATGTAGCATATTCAGCAGATTTTCAGAAACTTTGCAGTAAATAAAAATCAAGAGTTTCCCAGCTTTCCATATAACACCAGATTTCCAGAGTCTCTGACACTATATTTCTTTTTGTTTAAAAGACAGAGGAAAAATAGAAGTGGTGGAGATAGTGCAAGCGCAGAGACAATGATGAGGTAAGAAGGAACGTCATGATATTAAAGTAATTGCCCGGGGGAAATACGTCAGAATAAGGGCGTGAAGTTGCGGGTAGTATAGGGTGACCAAGCGTCCTCTTTTGCCCGGACATGTCCACTTTTTACGTCCTGTCCGGGGCGTCCTGGCGGGTTTTATAAATTCACGAAAATGTCCGGTTTTTCATAGGACCATTACGCGTGTACGTAAATTGACTGGCGTTTTGCACACAATACTAGGGTACTACATTTTTGCGCGACGTAATTACCGGGAGGCTGCCTTGTGGGCAGGTCTGCGCCGCGCACACAAACACACAGACACAGACAGGGAGCAGTGCAGACACGGATCAGAGCAGAGAGCGGAGCAGTATAGCAGGGAAAATGCCGAAGCGTAAGTGCAGCTTCACCGATGAACTGCAAAGAAAATTTCCCACGTACCGTCCCGGTCGGGACAAGTGGGAGGCGGAGTGCTCCGTGTGCAAAGCCGGTACATATGTCTCGGTATCCAATAAAGGTGCTGGGGATCTGAAAGCCCACATGTACACCGAGAAACATAAAAAAGCTGTGCGAGGTGAGAGTTCATCTGCAAAGTTGACAGAGTTTTTTGTCAGACCAGGAAAAACAGAGGATGATGTANCAGAGACAATGATGAGGTAAGAAGGAACGTCATGATATTAAAGTAATTGCCCGGGGGAAATACGTCAGAATAAGGGCGTGAAGTTGCGGGTAGTACGCATGCGGGGTCTAAGTTAACCCGCTGCGCAGATGCCGCCTTTTAGACTGAATGATATCAGCATTAGACGTGCTTTCTTCTTTTTAATAATTAGTGCAGGCGCGCTTATATGATGTGCCTGTCAGACTCGGTAATTTTACCAAACACTAATCTTGCAATTTTTGAGCGCAAAACAGAGATCATTTCACAGATTATCTAATCATTTTAAATGAAGAATTACAATAAACTGTTTTTCACAGGAGGCTTGGTGATAAATAAATTACAAATATTTAATAATTAATAAATCCTTAATAATTGATGTGTCTTTTTCTATAATGTACTGTCGCAACATATCAGTATGGTTACAAATAGCAGAATTTCCCCTAGTATGAATAAGTAAGCGGCTAAATATAGCTGGTTAGTCGTCGTCTTTAAAGTCAAGTAAATATGACCGGGTTACAGTTTGTCCTACCAGTTCCAGACTAACTAGAAGTACAGCAGTTTTACGGTGTCATTTCCGGCATATAAGTGCAGAGCATAAACTGGCTTATCAGTAAAACTCAGCTTATCAGCGGCTGCGGTAAATTTGAAAGCTGCTCCCGTATAGTAGTAGTAATATTTACAGGAAAACACAATACAGGAAATGTATGGCGGTTTTATTACAGTCAGTACTCAGTACGAAGCTGCCGAGATTTAAAACAAACAGATTAAGAAACTTAAATATGCATTGGATTCACGAAGCCACACAAATTCGTTTATATGAAATTCTACCCCAAAGTGAACAGTGTTTAATATAATAATAATAATAATAATAATAATAATAATTATTATTATTAATCATCATAATAATATTAATAATTTCACAACGTTACGGCGAGGTACCTGTCTTTACACTTAATCTTCTACGACGTTCACTCATCTCTGAAAGTCTGGTATATGATTATTGTCCATTTTTAAGCTCCTTTAAACTTCCTTTTTTGAAAATTAGGCATTTAAACAAGTACGTGTACAGTAAGAATCACATTTACTAAGTTTGCATGGCTATAGTCTGTATATATGTTGAGTTTGTGAATAGGTACGATAATAAAACACTACTTCCCAATGATAACTAGACTATTATTAACTAGGTGTTATGAAAGATTTTGAGAGTTTGAGAATTTTTGTTAAAAAAACTATGAAATTAGCCAATTTAAGTGACTTTTACTATACAAACTGTTAGCTAATCAAATACCTTGTGGATAATGTGTCTTGCATTGACCGAACGTTGCTCTTCCTTCTGGCCTCACAGTAAATTGCTCTAAACACTCAGCACATATTTTCCTTTCTGTGACCACAATATTCAGTCTAATCAGTGCCCGTCTACCCATTAGGTGACATACTGTATGCGGCCGCCTACGGCGCCACCCTCTGGAGGGATGCTGCCTTAGCATTTATTTTGGCTTATTACACGGCTCTCTGGAATGCTTGATTCTGATTGGTCAGTTGAGACATTTGCAAGTTCATTATTTTCAAATAATAACCGCTCCAAAGTAATAACGCATAGTCACGTGGTACTATATCGTTTCGCGGAAAGATAAAAATGTTATTTTAAAACAAATATGCCAA